CCCCAAAACCCCAAAACCCCAAAACCCCAAAACCCCTATCAATATTTTTTAATTGAAACTCTATAACTTGTTCTTTTTCTTCCTTCTAAACTTCCGCTTCAACTTATCTGTTTTCTTGACATATTCTTCAATTAATGCCGGATCTGATTTCAACTTTTGGTCTATAGGAAACAGTGTGCCAACTAAAGATTTCATAGGCATTAGGGGATAAACTTGTGACCAGGAGAAGAGACTAGGAGTATAACTTACACTGTATATCTCTGAGAATTGATAACTCTAGCTTTCTGAGCCTTGACATATACTCCTTTATTGCATTATCTCATTATTTGCTTTATTAACCAGCGATCTAGAGATTAGGGAAAAGCAATACTTTTTCATCGCCTTTTTAAGCATCTGCTTGAGTTTCGACTCCTTTCATACCGAAGGGCTATGTTTACAATTAACTCATATGAAATATTTCACATGATTTAGTGAATATATGGTGAAATATAGTAAATTCTTAGTGGAAAACTTACTTCTCTGCTTTAAAAAGGTCTTTATTCCAGGCACCTCCATTACCATCATTATATTTAGGTAATTTCCCAAGCATCGCTATATTCTCATTACTCTTGTTGGCCTGAACCAAGATGTTATCCTTCATATCTTTCCGGTCTTCCTTAGAAGCAAATTTCTGAACTAGGACAGCCTGGAGCATGATTTTAGCCTTATTCCGTCGCTCATACTCATCCTTAATCTTCTTCTCCATAAAAGCATTGAACTTATTATTACTGTTCTTGACTTGGACTGCATTAGAAGAAGGGGTTATCTTAAGACTTTTCGAGAAAAATTCTTTCTGCTTATTTTTAAACTGAACATCAGACATATTCTTGTTCAAATATGCGTAGAAGGTTTGGTCATTGCGTCGCCTGGAGATAAGACCTCGCTTGTTCATTATCCTGCCGATTTCCTTGTACTGTTTAATAATTTCCTCAATACCAAGTTTATTTATCCTTTCTGAAAGGAGAGCCAAAATGTATCAAATTCTTTTTGCGTTCAAGTTCTTTCCTAAAAATTATCAAAAAGGCGTACTTAATCCTTCGCTTATTTCGAGCATTCTGTTCCTTGGTCATGATGGTTCGGATGTCCTTCAGAATTATGTCCAGCTATGGCTCATGAGAAGGCTTACGTATGGCAAAGAGTGATGTTTACGATACTCTACTGAGGGAATCACTACAATTTTATTCCTCTCCATGTTCTTATAAAATTTAGCATTTTCCAATTCGTCAAAAGATTTGCAGTTAGTAAGATCAAAAACAGAAAATTCACTCTTGTTCCTCCTTTTCTTCTTGCTATTTTTTGTTCTTTGGCTGTTTCCAAGAATGGAATCTGAAATTTTGTTATTGTACAGTACACTCATCTGCCCTTTAACTGACGACAACGCAGGTAAAGGGGTATTTGCAGTTTTCTTCATAGGAATTGGTGAAATTCATGGCTTTCGCCGACTGATAAAAGTCTCATTAAAAGATTTGTCCAAATCTATGAGAAACTGGCTAAAATTCCTGCTTATTTCGTTAATTTTCTCTTTCTCTATAATAAATTAAAATCACAAAAAACTCCAAAAAAAGCCATAAAGAAAGGCCTTGAGTCAGAAAATACATACTTGCAGTGAATGCTGGGTTCTTATACTTATTATAGTTCAAAAATTCAGAATTACTCCTAAAATGTGGCATCTATATGTCAAACTCAAGAAATAGCCATACTGATTATTCAATAACTTTTATTTGCTCTGGGGTTTTGGGGTTTTGGGGTTTTGGGGTTTTGGGG